TTTATAACACTCATTATTGATATTTTGAAAAAATAATTCAATAATAATAGAGCAAGAATGATCCACGTGTTAGAATATGATTGTTTGCAAAGTAAGAAATTATATATAGCTCTGCAAGTATTTTATACGTTCCCTATTTAATGACCCAAATCTGAAATATATACACTAAAAAGATGTTAAATATTAATAAATTCTGTGAGACAGATTAGTTTTCAAAGTAGCTTAATTAAAATATTTGCCCCGTTATTCTCTAACAAGCAATAACAAACATGGCTAGATTTATCTACTTAGTTATATACTTAATATATTGTTATCCAATTAAATAAAGACATGTGAACCTTAATGTGTTAATAATATTAATAATAAGAATTTGTTGTGGAAAAATTAATCTATAAAAGCTACACATGTCTTGATTTAGTTAAAAATAAGCACCTTAAGTATATTAGGCTAAGTATATAAAGTTTTCCCTAAGTCATACATTCTTTAATGTCCATGTATTATTTTTGTAGGAGCACCTAATGCTCTAAACTCTTTATCATAGAAATGTCGCCTTTGAAGTTATTAAATTGTATCCATGTTGCCATTGACATTAAGTGGAAAACATTGACAGTTAACTTTGCTAATTAAAAAATAAGCTAAGTTTAACTTAATTCGTAACAATGTTGCCTTTGAAATAATTAAAGTGTAGCAATGTTACCCTGATATTAAGTCTAACTCAATAAAGTTAACTGTCAATATTTGCCCATTTAATGTTGGGGGTAACATTGCTATATGATTTAATTACTTCAAGGTTAATATTGCTACAATAAATAGTTTAGGACATTGGGTGTTCTTATAAAAATAGTTTAGTGGCAAAAATGAATCTTAATTCTTTTTATTCTTTTGCTATTATAATTTTATGCATTGTTTCTTTTGCATTTAGTTTCAATACATTATTGCTTTATAGTGATTTAATTAATAATTAAAATAATATGTTTTTTAAATTTAGCATTTACGTGTAGATTTTGCCCCACTAAGTAATTTTTTGACTTTACTGTCCCTTTATAATGGAAAGGTCTTTAAATATTTTTTTTGAAAGTCTTTAAATATATTTGTAACAAAGTAAATATTTTAGTAGATACCCTGCATCTCATTTGATTTCGTCTTGGGTTGTTACACACACACACAATATAAAAACATAAATTATGCTCTTTTTGAGTATTAGTTTTCTTTTAAATTATTTTAGTTGATACCCTAAGTCGAACTAAACCATCTCGTTTACATCAAAATTCTTAATTTCATCTGTAATTGGTTCAAAGTCTCAATTTTATATCAACTATTTTGAATATTTAAATAAGTTTACTCATACTTAGATGCCGTTATTTTTTAGTTGAAATTGGACATCTATCCAGGAATTTTTTTTTTTTTACCTCTGGGTTTGCTAGTGCTGAAGTAGTATGCTACAAATAGATAGTGTTGGGATTGGTGGATTTGAATTTAGATTTTAAATTACAAATTTCACATTACAAATTTAAATATTTAAAATTCTTTGTTTGGATAGTTTAAAAAATTTCAAACTTAAATAAAGTAATAATGGGAAAATCATTAACTTGGATAAAGATTTTAGTTAATCACTTCTTGATTATATTTTGACATTTTTCATTTTTTTTTATTATTTGACTACTAGCATGGGTGCAAATGTTTAAGTCCAAGGGGTATCTCATTAATTTAACGCCTTGTAAATTACATCATAAATGCCCCAAATCTTATAAATGAAAATGTATAATACATTATTATTGACATATTTATTTTGTATTTCATGTATTTTACGATCCAATATATCCTTTGGTTCATTGATGCTTTTAATCAGATTTTTTTATTGAGATGTAGGACTAAATGATAGAAAGAAAATAATTATATAAGTTGAATATAAGGATCATGCTTTTACTAAGTGATTGGTTGTATAGGAATTATGTGCATCAAGCAAAAGGACTGAAATATTTCATACAGCTGAGTGTCTTATAAAACAACCATTAAGCCTACAAAATATAAGGCAGATGACACTTTGGGAATGTTCAAAATTAAAGTCATTGTTCAGTGTATCCATTACTGCAACATTCATGTTGGAGTGGTTGGACATCAATGATTGTAAAGAATGCACATCTCAACAGATTATGGAAGCACCAAAGGTAATAACACTTTTAACATTTTTTTTTTCCTTAGTAACATTTTTTAACTTGTTGTTTTAGTGTGTCAATCTTGTTCTATCTTCTGTTGCGAAAATGTATTGTTCTATTTATTCTCTCTTACAATTTCAGTCTTGAACTTTTATATATAATTAATTTGAATTAAGCGCATTGCAGTCTATGTCAAAACATTCAATATCATAATTTTTTTTATACATAATATAATAATATACTTTTCTAGACAAAAAAACATCTGTCATGTCAAACTCCCTACATTGAAAAGTTAATTTGGATATTTGTAAATGTGCCTTTTTGGTTAAAATATGAACATATGAGGACATGATTTACTATGGTGTGATGTTGAATCGCCTTTTTTAAAACTTAAAAGGAAATTAGGAAGAATATGGAAGATGTGACAAGTGAAGGAGTAAAGGAAAACAAAAAGTTGAGGACTGCGTGTTCTCTTTCTCTACAGGCAGAAACCTACCGTAGTTATTCTACTAGTATATAGCAGATCACTGTGGAACTATTTAGTGTGGTTGAAGATGATTCTAATGATCATCATCAAGTGAACCATATAGCTCCATTTCCCAAAAGCTGAAGCATCTAATAACAATCTGGAATTGCAACAAGCTGAATGTGGTTGAAGATGATTCTGAATATTTTATACAATGAATGATTGTTTAAAAATTATTTAAACATTCTCAAAACAGTAAAGGCCTTCAAAGTGATCCACTTTTATCTTTATACAGATTTCAAGTTTAAATTTAAATAAAATATTTTTTGGCTCAATATATAGAACTACTTCAAAAAGATTTTCCTATATATGCACGTGTATAAATTTATGTCAAAATAATTATTTTAATATATAAATTGATTTAAATTTTTATAATTATTTGACTATGATATTATATATATATATATATATATATATTGGTTCTCTATAAATATTAACTCATGCCAACACATGCAATATATGAAATTTTTTCATGGATAATATATATATATATATATATATAAGAATATACCCTTCATGACAAAACATCATATGCCATGTCAAAATCTTTACACTAGATATTGAAAAGTTAGTTTTTGAATATTGTTATATCATTAGATAATTTTAATAATATTAATATTATTTGGATATTTGTAAACGTATTGTGTTTATTTATCTTTTTTGTTAAAATATGGCAATATTGAATTTGCACTATTATTGAATTTCACTAAAGTGAGATGTTGAATTTTCACTAATATTCTTATATAATGAACGGTTGTTAACAAATATTAAACATTTTCAAAACAACAAATTTATATTGAAGTGATCTAGCTTTATATTTACATAGATTTCAAATTTAAAATACTTCACAAAGTAGAGTGTGTTTGCTGCTGTTTTGTGTGTGACTGGGTGAGTGTGTATATCTCACACTCACAAAATATAACAACATTAAATATATAGAATTTATTCAAAAATAATTTCTTTGCATATATACAAGTCAATAGATTAATTTATGTCAAAAATCATTTTTATATTTAAAAATTATTTGACTATGGGGGGTGTGTGTGTGTATCAGGTTCTCTATTTATTGATTAATATCAACACATGCAATATCATACAAATTTTCATTGATAAATTAAGAATGGTTTTTGTGAAACAAATCACCTGACTAAATATTGGAAAGTTAGTTGGATATTGTTGTATCATTAGATAATTTTTTTAATGTTAATAATATTTGATATTTGTAAATGAGTGTATTTTGTATATTAATCTTTTTTTTTGGGTTAAAATATGATGATACTGAATTTAATTTGCATTGTTATTGAATTTCACTAAAGTAGAATGTTAAATTTACATTTCTATCAATCAGTAAACTTATAGGAAAGTAAAGAGCATATGGAAGATGTCGCAAGTGAAGCAGCAAAGGAATTTGAAGTACAAGAGATTGTTAATGTTGACAAACCACTCAACCCAAGTGTCGGCACCCAATAATTTCTCAACTTCTGCAATCTAAAAAAAATAAAAATTGAGGGAAACAAAAAGTTAAAAATTGTGTTCTCTGTCTCAACATGTGGAAGCCTATCACAGTTGTCCAAGTTGGTTATAAGGCACTGTGAGAAATTAGTTAATGTTGTTGAAGAAGATTTTAATGGTCATCATCAAATGAACTATAGTTCTACTTTCCCAAAACTGGAGCATCTAGAAATCTGTGAGTGCAACAAGCTGGAGTTTATATTTCCTTTCTCTCTTTTTGGTGGTCTTCAAAAATTAAAACATTTGAAAATCTGGGAAGCTGCTGAGTTGAAATACATTTTTGGGAAATGTTATGATGAAGATTATTTATCAAATGAGAATGAAAGTGATGAGCATCATATTGATCTCCCTGCTTTGGAAGAACTGATACTTGAAGGTGTACCAATAATGATCAACAATATTTGGGCAAAGAAATATCATATAGATTGTCATCTCTACGAACATTTCGTTTAGGGGGTCAAAAGTTTAGCAGAAGATGTTTTATAGATTTGATGGCTTATTTACAAGGAATACAATTGAATGTGAAAGCTCCAAAGGTAACACGCATTTGAGTGACTTATTGTTCTATAATATGCATTTTCTATGTTTATTTGATTCTTTTTCTTGGAATTTTTCTTTTTATGACAACGGATTACTTGGCATTTAAACTTGGACATCAAGAACATATGTTCTTAGATAAAAATTTGTCACGTCGAGACATGCAAGTACTAAATTTTCATGCATAAATATTTTAATAATTTGAATTTATACTGAAATATTTTGAATTGATATATTTTTATTAGGACTTGATGAAAATTATCAGGGATATGCAGAAGTTGACATTTCTTAAAGTAAGCAACTCTAATGTAGAAGATGTTCTTAATTTGGCAGTGGAAATTGAAGGTTCGGTGACATCAAGCCTAGAAAAAATGATTTTCGAAAATCTGAGTGAGTTGAGGCATATATGCAAGGGTCCCAGATATATTTTGAGCCTCCACAATCTTTCCGAACTAACAATCAAAGGGTGTGACAAGCTAGAAGCAATCTTCTCTGTCTCAATATCAAAAAGCCTCCCACAATTATCTTCATTAAGAATAAGTGATTGTAATGAATTAGTTGACATCATTCAAGAGAGTGCTAAGGATCATTTGCATCAACTCTGCTTCCCGGAGTTAGGAAGAATTGAGATCAAGAATTGTAATAGATTGAAATACCTTTTCTCCATCTCAACACCTTCCATGTTTCCAAAGTTATTGATATTGGAAATAGAAGAAGCCTTAAAGTTAGAGCAAGTATTTATATGCAAACAGAATGATACAGAGAACATGGTGCTGAAAGATGTGTTCCCAAATCTTTGGGAAATAACACTCAAAAGTTTGCCAATGCTTGCTGCTATTTGTAGTGGGATCAATTTCCACACTGTGCGACGTCTTAGACTAGCTCGTTGTCCCAAATATCGAAGTATGAATTTGAAAAAAATCACTTCTCATAATTGTTAGTTTAAGACTATTAATATTCTATTAAAATTAATATAATATCAAAAAATCTATTGCATGAATTACTGCTCCACTGCAAGAAGGACCTTCAAATTTGGATTCAAAAAATCAAGTAAAAATAGGGGAGCAACTCTTTGTAAATTCTGATAATGCTCAGGCTGTGCCATATTTGGGAGAAACAAGTGGTTCATCATCGAAATTAGCAAAGGTATGCTTGACTGATAATTATATGAATAAAGAAAATTTTTACTTTTGATCACTCAGATCTAAATTTGCTGGAATTAGTGAGCTTAAATTCCAATTTTAATAGACTAACAATGTTTTGTCTTCTCTTTTGCCACTTCTTTCATTTCTATATATAAAATATTTTTAACTGATGAATCTTGCATGCTAATAAAAATTTATTTAATTGAAAACATAAACCCATAATAATTTTTTAGTTTTGCCCTAATAATATTATAATTAATGTCACAGTGATAGTATAACATATAGTTAGTATCTCTTCCCCCCTTCAAAATAATAAGGGCAAAAATATTTAATTATTTAAAAATATCACGGCACCTTTTATATTTAAAAATAAAACAAGTTTTTTGAAAATACCCTATTTATAGGGATGGATAGAGTAATGAATCAAACTCTTTCATAAACATATTTTACACATCTAATTTGTTTATTTCTTGTGATGGTTGAAAAAAAAATCTTTGGAAGAAATGAAAATTAAACATTATTGAAAAAGCTTTCATTCCTTTTACCTACGTACTTGCAGATAGAGATTTAATTCAATAATTCATATATATTATTTAAAGCAAGAAAAGGAAGCTAATTTTAATAGAAGATGTGGAATAGAACAATGATTTTAGTAGTGTTTATTAATTGGAACATAAGAAAGAACAGGGGCATTTTGTTGAACTTGAAGGTACCAAACAGAACAAATAAAGGAATATGCCGCATGACTTGGACTATTTTCTTATATCATTAATATGTACTATGAATAGTTTTAACCAAAATGTTTGATTAACAAGCTGCTATATTTGATGAAGCTAGCATATGATAACTTACCTCAACTCATTCTGAGATCTAACGTTAATTATTGAAAATTTGGAAAAAAGAAAAACAATGGTTGCAATATGTAAGAATGTCGTTGAGTTGAATGTTCTAGACTTATGCACACATAAAAAATCTAGCAAAATTTATCCATGGATAAAATGTATCTTTTTGATATTGTAGATTAAGGAAGAAACATTAATGGAAGTTCAAGCTAAAGATCCTGCTCCATCTTTAGAGAAACATGCATCAGAAACTTCAGCAGCTGAATCACAATTGAGAAGGACATGTGTAGATGTAAGTTTATAGATTATTTAAGTAATTTCAACATAAAAAGAAGTTCCATCTCAAATTAGTCAAATGATTTTCTGCTAATTATTTAATATTGCCAATAGGAGTTTGACGATGAACGCGAAACAAACAATTCGACTACGCAGCTCCAACATGAGGATCTTGCAGAAACAAGATCCACCATTAAAGCTTCTCATAAAACCAATATACCATTTGATGATGATGTATATTATAGCATAGAAAAACTATTTATTCTTAAGTTTCATCAATACAAAATATGATATCTTAGTAATTGCTATGATGTGTTGTTCAGAGTATGGATCCCATAATAAGAAAAAAAGTTCAAGAAGGTCCTTTCTGAGAGGATATAGTGGTAGCAAATATGGTAGTTGAGTTGGCAATAAGAAACTCATCTTCAGAATTAATCACTCCTCTCCAACAAGAGATCTCATCTTCTGCGAAACATGTACCTTTTTCTCTATTCATTGCTTCTTTTAGGATTTGATGCTGTTGGAATCAAGAAGAAAATCAATCAGAGAAAAGATGATTATTGTTTATTTGAACTCTTCACCAAATATTAAAGGATCTAAGAATTTTAATTAAACAACTTGACGCTTACATATCTTTTGGTACTTTCCTAGAATGTTGCTAAAAGCCTTCCAAAAGACACTTCAAATGAGAAAACTAGAATGGTTGCTACCTCAGTTCTTGATGAAGAAACAAAGAAGGATATTATCAAAGTAGTTGATTCTGATCCTGCTTCAAAGTTAGCGGCAGCAACTTCATCTTCTTTTCAGGTGATCAAAATGGAATTTCTTACCTCTTTACACACACACACACGTCCCATCACGTGAAAAACTTGCAAGTTTTTTTTTTTTAATGGATTCGTTAAAACTATAAGGTATGTTAGACTAATTCTTCTATACATACTTATATTTGGTATATAACAGTTGATCCATTAACAACCAAGGCAAAATCTAGTTAAATCAATTGATGAAGTTTCTTTATTAAACAAGTGCTATCATTAATGATTTAGTCATAGCATAGAAGCAATGAAAGAAGTTGTGGGAATAGCTACGGCTTCAGAGTCAAAACTGATCAAAATGACATCTCCAAGCTCCTTTATCTCTTATTTGAGAATGGTGCAAAAATAGTTACACATGTTATTTGACAAAACTTGTTAATGACTTGATCATAGGGAGTAGCTTATATATCCCCTTTGATGTTTACTCCTTGCTTCAGAGTTATCCAATTTCAATAAGAAAAACAAATTTACTTATTGTCACTTGAATTTGAATTTGGTGGAATTTGTGAACTTAAAGTCCAATTTCAAAAAACTATTTTGTTTTCTTTTTCTTTTTCTGCATCCTTTGTTTTACTAACAACAAATATTCTAGACTTTATATCCTGTTGGAACTTTATTTTTGTTATTTATAGGTCTCATTGTCGTTTGAAAAGGAATTAAATTGTGGATGTAGAAAATATGTACGACTTAAAGATGCTATCTTAGTGAACTAATTAGTTATGTCTTTGAGTGTGACTTGGAACTATGAAGAAACAGAGAAGGAAACCTGCAAAGCAGTAGCTTAAAAATAGTTCAATCTTTAAATTTGAGGATAAACTGTCTTTTTTTATGTATATGTGTAATTCATGTCCTGATTCTTTCGGTGCTTTAAACCTCTCGCCAAGAAAGCTTGCTTTCATTTTGTTTTGGCATATGATATTATGCAAAGTTAATCGGATAGTTTTTTTTTTAAATTATTAATAAAAATTATAATGAGTAATATATAATATTTGTAAAATCATTACTTCGTGGAAATATCAATTCAAAAGTGAGGGCTCACAATTTAAACTTAAAGCATGTTTTTATACATGAAAACTTAAATACTAACTCTCATTTTGCAAATATATCCATTCATAAAAATATATTGGCTAGTGTATCTTATGCCCTTTTCTAAATAAAGGATTAGCATTATACTAATTAAATGACTAAAAGTTGTACCATTTTCTATACTCATTGCATGTTTTAGGATTTGTTGAAGACAAAAATCAGGAAGAGACACAATCATGGCAAACCAACAGGAACTAGGAGGAATGACTACTTTTAGTGCAATTCAGAGTTATAAGGAAACAGAGAAGGAAGTTGGAAAAGTAATTCCTAATTCAAAGTTACCAGCAACAACCCCATCTGATTTTGAGGTGAAATTTTTGTGTTTATTCTTTAATTTCTTTTGAAGAGACCATTTCTATATGCAAACATTGTTGGAAGAATAATTAGTCAATTAGAGTATACAAAGATAATTTACATTGCATGAATTCATGAACTTGTTTGATTGCACAAATTTTATTCTGTTTATGTTACCCAGAGCTCAGAAACAGGAAAAGAAGCTATTCCTATGGTCCTTACTTCAGGTTTATCAGTGGCTACAACTTCATCAAAATTAGAGGTTGTAAAAGTTAAAACTGACATTTTTTGTATGACAACCACAAAATGGCTGACCTACAAGCATTGTCGGAATATTGAAAGAAATGACAACTGTTATATACTCTCTCTTTTTAAAAAAGATTGAAGGATCAAAGGGTTTTAATTAAATGATCAACTTACATGTCCCTGCTGTATTTGTACAGAATAGAATTGAAAGTATTCCTAAAGAAACTACACCTATGAAAGATAAAATAGATGCTTCCTCAATTAGTTCACAAGCAGAAGGATCCCCATCAAGTCCATCGGCAAATGTAAGTTTATTTGTAGTGTTCGTGTTAAAACCATTAATTACATCTATATTTTTGTTATTTATACATTTAAATTGTTTCTTTGAAAATAATTGAATATTGGATAAGTAAGATCAATGAATTAATGAATTGCTGCCCTAGTGAACCACTCAATTATTTATTATATTCTTAAGTATCACTCCAATTCATAAAGAAATTCCGAAGGAGGTTGGCAAAGTATAGTTGTAATTACTTCAAAATTACCAACAAAAACCACCTAATTTAATTCAGTGAAGATTTGATTTAAGATATTGGGGATGATAAAATTTTTTGTCTTCAAGTTTGTATTATATTATCAATTTAATTGGTTCCTTATGTTTTTCAAATTACAATATTATAAGTCCTTTAAGTTTTAAAACACAAATTTACTCTTAAATTAATCTAACGTGTAAAATATTTTGATAATTTGACATGCATATAAAACTAAATGAGAACAACTTTACACTCAAATTTTATTTTAAATTTTTTATTAATCTAGTCCTTTACAATGCATTTTGTTATTTTTTTTAATTTTTTAGTATAGTTTTTAGACCTAAATAATTATAATTCTTTTCATTAATTTACATGGTTGCCATTAATATATTATTAAACTAAGTGAAATTGAGTTACAATAGTGCCGCATGTTGTATCTTCACATATTTAGTGTCCAAAATGGAATCTCACCATATGAAAAACTTGGAAGAACATGTTGTTATGAAGTTTTAAATGGATTTGAGTAACTTTTTAAGTACATTTTTACTTGGTATGATAGGAAGAGGATGAACAAGCAATGAATAAGCCAAATTTGACAGATCAATTTACTTGTAGAGAAGGAAAAAGTGAAATCAGAATTCATCTTCCTCATCAAACAAAGGTATACTTTATGATCCCAATGTACGTAGAACTTTATAATATTATTGGAAGAGAACAATCAGTGAATGAGAAACTTTTGTCTTGATTTTTAGGTTTCTAGTACGAAAGAAACACATGAACAAGGCTCTAAAAGGAATGTTGCAACAGACGAAGCTATAATGGCAATTCAATCAACTGACCTAAAGTTAATGAAGCAATTTAGAGCATCATCCATGATTGCACAAGTAAATGCATTATTCTTCTTAATATAGAATCTTTTTGGTAAAAAAACAAAAATTAATATAGAATCTGATGTAGCTGCATGGTTGTCACTTGTGCTTATTATGATTATGGGAATTATAATGCTAAAACAATCACATAAAATTTTACAGAGCTTATCAATAACTTTAAAATAGTAAGCAAATAGCATACAAATGCCACAAGATTTCCAATTTACCCATGTTTATGAACTTTCACATTAGTAGTAGTCACAAATATATATTTTTTTATAGAAGTTTCACCAAAGAAAATATATTAGATGGCTTAATTTTTGAATTGCTGAGATTATTTCTTTTATTAAACTAAAAGACTTAAATATCACGTAAAGCGGTATAGGAGAATTGATTATTGAATAAGGAGATAAATTATATTCTATGAGTCACTGAAGTTTTTCATCAAATAAATTTTATGATTTTTTATGTTATTTAGTGCTTAAATACAGAGAAACGGCCTATTAGATTATATGCTCCACTGTTATCAATGGCTACAATTTCAACAAATTCTGAGGTGAATAAAATGGCATCACGCTCTTGTATTTGTTTTTTTAATGGTTCATGAACATTCAATGAATAAACAACATACCTTTAGATTCTTGGTTTTTGAACATGCATGGAAAAATAGAACTACGCAATATACATTGTTTTTAGTTTCTTTCACAAAGTTGCAAAATCTAATGGTAGTATTCTTGCATTAATGCGGTATGTAAAATTGCAACTTATTTCTTCCTACTTTTATATTACCTAGAGCACCAAAGATACAATGAAACAAGGTCTTGAAAGAATTATGCAAAAGATGATGTCATGACAGCAGTTCACTTAATTAGTAATCTCTCAGGAAAAGATTATGTACAATTAAGTTTGTCACCCTTTTCTATCTATAGAAATTGAAGTATTCTGAAAAATGATTATGACATATTATTGATGTGGAGTAATAAGGAAGCAGTGAAAGACATTGTTGATAATGTTAGTGCTACATACACATCACCAGAGACAACTCCATTTGACTCAAAATTCATTGGAGCACTTGTATGTCTTTTGAACTTTCTTAAGATAGTTGTAAACAATAATTCATTTTAAAATAGAGAATCAAATGAAGAAACTTGCAATTTTTTTTTCATTTGATGCAGGATACTAAAGAAGCAAAAGATTCTAGTGCTCAAAAGGAATATAAATCAGAGAATCCCATAAAAACAACTATCCCCGTTGCTATTCCTTCTCTCTATCATCGTAAGTGTGTCTCCTTACTTGATAACTTTACACTTTTTCTTTAAGCATTACTCTGCTAACTTTCTTGATAGTAATAGAAACACAAAATGAAGATTCTTGCCCTTCTGCTCCTATATCAAGGATTTGTGAAATGGCTTTACTTACACAAGCACTCAAGCAATATCCTCAACAAGTGCTATCTCATAAGCACCTTACCAATCGAATAACATCTCTCTACTACAGAGTGCTTGTTGACATTTTGGTCATGCTAGCTACTAAGACTCCATGTAGCATTACAACATTGGAAAAGTCAACCTTAGAGGCTAACTTACGTGAAGTAACATTTCTTGGCTTGAACAAAGAATGGGTTGATTCAATTCGGGTAAGAGTTTTTGGTGTGGACATGTCCGATGTCTTGGTAGCTGAATACAAAATTCAAGTCATAAAGGTGGAGCTTGAGACATGACATTGCCTTAGAGCAAGTTCGAAGGCAAAGAGTAGAAGCTGAAGAGGGGCTTGCAGTGGCAAGAAGACAGTTGGAGATGGCACAAAGTACGTTTGAAGCAATTGATTCTTGATGGTTAGGTCTATTAGAAGATCGCAAGAAATTGATGATGAAGATGAAGGAATTAAGAGAAATAATAAGTTCAAAGGATAGACCCCATGGAATTTAGGTGTGTTTACTTTGTGCTTTGTTATTTCATTTGCCTCTTTAAAGACTAAAATGAGTGAACCATAATGCATATGATATGGACCAATAATATTTCCCTATATTCAACTAAATAACAGGACAAAGTTTATCAAACTCTAATTATTGTATGGATAAATTTGACGTTTTGTTTGATGGATGATCTATACTATTATTGATAATGATTTTTAGTAGTTGTACATGTGAACTATATGCACCCTAGCATCATGCTTTTTTCCATCATATATATATATATATATATTATCTATAAGGTTCATCATAAATTACAAATTTCTATTCTGAATCCTAGCTGGTATTAACATTAATATGATCCACCCTAATATTTCATTTGTTACATGGTATTCAAGTGTATTATATTCTTATCCCACTAGGATTCCATACTCAGCATCATCCACTTCATTGGCACTCACTCAGACTATATTACAACTGATCTATGTCACAGTCACAATTATAAGCTCAAAATAAACAAACAGAAATGGAAGAGATGGGACTGATTATTTCTATATTTTGTATTACTTCATGTGAGTACAGGCACTATGTTAACACAGCCACAATATGTAACAGAAAAGCAAGAAAGTTGCAGAAATAATCTACCCAGAGAGAAGAGAGATAATGTTAGAGGAAAAGTTCAAATCATAACAACCACGCCTTCTCTCCTCCTCATAGTGCCTTATATATTCTCATCTTCAAGGGTCTGTAGCTTCCAAGTGGGCCTTCGGATCCTCTTGCTCTTACAAAGCCTGTCCAAACTCATCTCAGAATGTTGAATTGGGTTCATTTTTTATGTTTCCTTTTGCATCTCAAGTCCATTTGTCTCATTTATTGGTTGGGCCATGACATTGCCCACCCTTTTGAGTTTGACCTTGCCCTCAAGGTCAAAGTGTGGGTAGATACACAGCATCTCATCATAAAATTCCTATGTTGGTTCTACAGTACCCTCCCATGCAAGTCTAACTTATAAAACCCATGCACCTTATAGTTGCACCAAGCAAGTTTCTAGGACATCAAGTGGCTGTATGATCATCCCCTTTAGATGAGTGATTGTGGGTAAAGGATTCAAAATTGGTTAACACTCTCTATAGCATTTTTTCAATAAAGAAACATGAAAAATTAGATGAATCTTGGCATCGGGAGGAAGCTCAAGTTTGTAAGCCACAGATCCAATCTTGTCAATAATCTTGAAACGTCTGAAGTAACGCATTGCAAGTTTCTGAAAACAACGCAACTCCATGAAGTGTTGTTGGTAAGGTTGCAGCTTAACGAAGACCATTTCACCAACTTCAAAGTGGACTTCAGAACATTTGAAGTTAGCAAACTTCTTAATTCGAGCCTGTGCCTTCTCCAAGTTATGTCTTAGAGTTTCTAGAAGTGCATCACGGTTTGTAATAACTGATGTAAATCAAGAGGTGTATCCTTTGTGGTTGTGTGTAGGAGTAGGGGAGGAAGATCCCAATCGTAAATGATCTTAAATGGTATCATACCGATATAATGGTAATATGATGTATTGTACCATAGCTCTACTAAATCTAAATAGTCTAACCATTATTGGAGGTGTTCTAAAATAAAGCATCAGAGGTACATTTCCACATAGCAATTCATGGCCTCTGACTGACCATTTGTTTAAGGGTGATATGCTGAATTCATAAGTACTTGAGTGCCTTGAAGTCTTTCTAGGTGTCTCCAAAAAGAACTAGTAAAAGCACGATCACGACCTGAGATAATTGTCTTCAGAATTCTATAGAGTTTGACGACATTTTGAAGAAATGCTTCTGCCATTATTCGACTAGAATAATTAGACTTAAGAGGGATCAAGTGTACATATTTTGAGAGTTTATCAACCACAACAAATATCACCGAGTAGCCATTCTTTGGTGGAAGACCTATAATAAAGTCTATAGCTATCTCTTCCTAGACATGGTGAGGAATAGGTAAAGGGCTCAATAATCCAGCAGGTTGTAATTGACTCACCTTAGCTTACTAGCATATGTTACATTGCTGCACAAAATGTTTGATGTCCCTTCTCATATTAGTCCAATAAAATAATGAAGCCACCCTCTTGAAAGTTTGAAAATAACCTGCATGACCACCCACAACTAATGCATGAAACTTGGAGAGAATTTTGGTGATAAGTTCAGTGTTGTTGTGGGTATCACAAGTTGTTCCTTCCATAGAACATCTTCCTGTATGATTCTATAGTGCGTTGATCCTAAAGGATCCCTTTGAAGCTAAGCTTTGACTACCTGAATCTGAGGAGAGGCACATACAGCCTCATATACTTCATTCATGAAGATAAATTGCACTTGAGACAGAGTAAATAAAAAGACATGAAATAATGCATATACAGCCTAGTTGTGGATCCCAGGTTTGCACTCTATCGAAAATCTATACCCCATAAACTTTAGTAGACAAGCTTCTTGTTTAGGTGTATGAACTTATTGATCCAAGATATGCCACAAGCTAGTATGATCGGTCTATATGATAAAGGATTGCCAAATAAATAATGGCAAAACTTAACCACAGATTCAGTAATGGCATAAAGTTCACAATTATAGACAGACTTGGCTTGCATCCTTGAAGATAGTTTATTTGAAAAGAAGGAAATAGAATGTCCATGCTAACCCAACATTGCACCAATTTCACCTCTAGATGCATCAGTCCCCAGGATAAATGGTGAATTAAAGTCTAGTAATGCCAACACAGGGGCTTGTGAAACTGCTTGCTTCAATTGTTCAAAAGATTTCTGAGCTTCAAGAGACCAAGTAAAAGCATCCTTCTACAGTAATTTAGTCAATGGGGCAGCTACGTTAGCATACTACTTGATGAACCTTCTATAATATCCAAGCCCAGAGAAACCCCATAGTTGAGTGACAGTTGTTGGCACGGGCCATACTTGAATGACTTGTACCTTTAAATAATCAATTTCAACACTAGCTTTGGAAACAACATGACCCAAGTAATCAACCTTAGTTTGTCCAAAGGAGCATTTTGATAATTTAGCATAAAAGTAGCATTCGGCTAGCCTTTATAGTACCAATCTAACATGGTGCAAGTATTCCTTCCATGATAAACTATAAAACAATATGTTGTTAAAAAATGAGTACAAAGTGGCACAAATATGGTTGAAAAAACTTGTTCATAATGGATTGGAATGTTACAGGGGCATTAGTAAGTCCAAAGGGCATCACTAACCATTCATACAAGCCTTGCTGTGTTCAAAAAGCCATCTTCTCTCTATCCTCTAGTTCTATTAATATCTAATGATAGCTTGCTCTTATGTCTAGTTTGGAATAATACACAGATCCCTTAAGTTTATCTAATAATTCACCAATCGTAGGCATAGGAAATGAATCCTTTATAGTGACAGCATTTAGTGCTCTATAATCAACACAAAATCTCCAGGTACTATCTTTTTTCTTAACTAACAAGATAGGTGTTGAAATAGACTATTGCTAGGTTGAATAAATCCTTCAAGCAGAAGCTCTTTTACTTGTCTCTTGATCTTAGACTTTTGGCTAAAAAGGTAGTTATAGGGCCTAACTTTTACAAGACCCTACCCTTGTTATAAGGTAATTCGATGTGCATGCCCATGTTTTGGAGGAAGTCCATGAGGTTGTTCAAACACATATTGAAATTGCATTAATAATTGGGCCATCTCATGTGGGGTGTCATTCCTTAATGTATTTTTTCTTTCTTCAGTTTCACTTAGATCCAAAGGTTGGACCTAAAATAATTCAGCCATGTATTCTATTTTCACTATATAGGCAAATTGGTGTAATTAGGCCGAATGCATTGGAGTAGTTTTGAACCCATTAAGAGTAATGAGTTAACCCTTATCCACAAATTAGATCGTAGAGGTGCTATAATTCGCCATATGCAGACCCAGTGTCTCCAACCAAGCAACTCTAATGACAACATTGACTCCAGTGACGGGTAAGATGAATACTGGAAACTTCAAAGTGTGTTTGCTAATCTGCACAGGAAACTTCCTGATATATCCTTGACTTGTCATTAACTGTCTTGTCCCAACTAACACATGTAATATTGGAAATGGCTTAACCACTATACTCAGATGTTCAACAATTTATAGATGTATGAAATTGTTGGAGCTTTCACCGTCTAATAGCACTTGTACCTTAGTTCCATGAATCGATCCACTGAATTAAATAGTAGCTATCCTTGTCGAACCGTGATATGCACATAATGACAAGTGGTGCAGAGTTGAAATTTCTTCTATATTGGTTTCTAGATTAGTATTTACTATTTCATCAATTTCATCTTCTCTGACTAGCATCATCAACTGTTTCTTGCTACACTTGTGAGAGGGAGTGAATTTATCATCATAAAAATAACATAGGCCCTTCCCCTTCAAATTTTCATTTCTGTTGGAGTTATACAGTGAATGTGTGGTCGGCTGGGAGTGGGTAGCAATGGTGGTAGAGTACCCTTAACTGATGAACTCATTGAAATTCCTATTAACGGTGGTGTTTTCATGCCTCCAGTAGTAGGAGATGGAGAATATGTTGTTTGGAGCCTCGACAGGGCCACTATAGTCTCCTTTTCTATAAATAATCTACCTAGAGTTACAGCCTTCAATAGAGAAGTTGGAATCTGCGAAGTGATGTCTCGTTGTACCTCCGTTTTTAACCCACCAATGAAGCAATCAATAAGGGACCTTTCTGTCATGTCCTCCGATCTATTAGCGAGAGTCATGAACTCTTTCACGTAGTCATTATACATCTCACGTTAAGTGAGTTTGA